TTTTACAAAATATCGAGGTTTATATACAAAATCAAATGTTAGATAATAAAAAAATAATTATTTGGGGATTAATCATGGAATATAATAATATCTATATATATTATTATTATTACTTTTATAATATATTATATTTTATTTTTTTATATTATATTTTATTATAATATATTATATATTTTTTTATTTTTTTTTTATTTTTATGTTTTTTTTATTTTATGTAATTTTTATTTTTTATTATATATATAATATATATATTTATATGTATTATAAATACATAGAATAATGTAATATAATAATTACACTATTATGTATACTTATACTTTATACACTAAACACATACACAAATACATATAATACATATATTCGAGATTTTTTTGAATAAGAGATGAATTTTAAATAAAATAATATTAAATTACTATGAAACAAAACATTTCAAATACATACACAATTTATCTTTTATCACTACGTAAAATACTTTTAAAACTTACTTGATATTCCTAAAAATAATTACATATATATATCATGGTTTATATCAATAAAGTTATATATTGATTGAAATATTTCATTTCAATACATTGACCCTTTGAAATCGGTATATTCTATTCTTTAGAACAGAGAAAGATTTCCTAAGAGTGGCAAGTGAAAAATTGCACGATTCGTGTTCGTGGAACACTCTACGATGCGTGATCTCAAACAGCAGCCGGTACGAATGATAGCATAAATACTCGGAACCTAGTGCTAAAGAAACGATTTACACGTCGTTCATATGTTCAATCTGATTTTACGGTATGGAAAAAAATACTTCTAGAAAAATATGATTAAATACGTGAGATAAAACAAAATAAACAAACTTAAACGAGACTTCATAATCATTTGCAATTCCTTAGAAATCTTCACTTTCGTGTAAATAATTTGTATATAAATATTTTATATATAATATAAATTTGTATAAATAATTCTATAATATAAATTTAACTATTGTTTTTTTTTTTTTTTTTTTTAAAAAATTATTTATATCAATTTATATTTTTAATTTATATTATATAATTAATATAAATAATTTTATTGAAAAAGATGTATAGATATATATACATCTGTATATCAGTTTGGTTATACTAACTACATCTGCATAATACACTTGTGTACAAGTTAAAGGTTTTCATTTTATGTAAATATTATTTTTACACATGTTTTATTATTATTTGACACTTATCAAAATTTAACAGATATTTTAAATGTAAAGATAATAAATTTTCGTTACAATCAATACAGTTTATGATATTATTATGTATACGTAAAAGTAAATCATAAAATAATTATATTGCAATTGTTTTAAATCAAATATAATATAGAATAAATATATTATTAAATAATATTTCAACAAAACATTAATATACTTCAATTATTAATCAATTTCTATTTGATATTATGTTAGATAAAAATTAGAAACAAATTTATCATTGAATACAAAAACCTTGAAACATATATATTTTAATTTAAAACATTTCTAAATATTATTAATATTATATTAAAATGTTTAATATATATCTTAAATAATTATTAATTAATCGTAGAAAATATTTATTATAATTTAAAAGTAACAAAAGGATAAAATTCGATTTACTCTTTGAAATTTAAGGTTAGACTGACATGTTTGTTTATCTTTGAACTTATCACTGAACATAAAAACGTTAAAACATATATATTTTAATTTAAACATTTCTAAATATAATCTAATTATATTAAAATGTTAAATATATATCTTAAATAATTATTAATTAATCGTAGAAAATATTTATTATAATTTAAAAGTAACGAAAGAATAAAATTCGATTTACTCTTCGAAATTTGAGGTTAGACAGACATGTTTGTTTTTTATGACACTCAAATAAAATTCTTTTTGTTGATGATTGCTCGTTGTTTATACAACTCAACGAATATCAGTATTGCGAACATAATATTCGTTGTAAATACTTTACCAAGATGATAAGTTTGTTTTTTTTTTTTATTATTCTTTTAACGTTTGTTTACGCTTTTGCTCATCCATTTTTTATTGAAGATTTTATGTGTCATACAATTCATATTCGAATTGCGCGTTAATGAAAATTTACATGTAGTAATATATACATACAGATATATATTTATTAATAATACTACAAAAAAAAAAAATACAAGAAAATTCACTGATAAACAATTTTTTCTACGATATCGAAATCTTTTCCACACATTTTGTGCATCATTTGCAATCTTGCAGTCTGTCTAGTTTTAAATGAAAAAAAAAAAAAAATGAAAAAAAGAGAAAAGAATTAAACGG